AAGAAGGACCTGCAATCTTTCTCTATGCTGGTAAGCAATACCCCACAACTAAAGAAGGATACACTAAGAAACAAAACCCAAATAGCAAGGTATTCAAGAGTTCATAGTCTAAAAGAAAAGGTTGGCAGTGAATCTAAAGCCCAAAAATGAAACAAACAAGCTGCTCCAAAGCAATTTTAATCAGAACTGTAGCAGAAAATCTCAGCACTACCAAAGAAAGTAGGTCTTCAAGAGATTTCTCTAGAGTCAAGCCAAACACAACAAATTCTGATAGTGATAGCCCAGGAAAAAAAAAAAACTGCCTTTSAAACTATGTAAAGGGATCAAAAACCCTTCAAAATTGAATGGGATATCAACCTAATTGAGTAAAATGGTGTTGAACCCTAGGGTGATGCAAAATCTAGAAGCACAAACTGATTGGAACCACCGATTAGATAAGAACAAGGAAAAGCCCAATCTAGCTTGCGATTTCCAAAAAATAGGGTTTAGTTTATGCCAATTGAAGCAGCCTCCAAAAGCCCCTCAAGGACGAACTCGAGCACAGGACTGAAAGTCCACAAATAGCCCCTCAAACTGGAGTAAAGTCCTCAATCACAAGCTGGAGAAAAAGGCTTGCTCTGATACCATGACAGTCTTCTCAGTTGTACTAGAGAAAGAGAGAATATAATAAGGTTAAATGGTGCAGAGAGACTAGGCCAATTGGGCCCTGGCCCATTATGGTCTTATTATTAGTTCTTCCTAGTTGTTTTTGTTTGTTAATGGGCCTTTGCTTTATGGGCTTGTTAATGCTTTTTTATGTTTTTTACGTATGATGATGAGTTGGCCGCCCACTTAAGGGCAGACTTGTAATTTGTTCAGATTTAGTAAGACTAATAAAGGATAAGAGAGGTAGAAGAGGAGACCATCGAACTCTCTTCTCCTTTCCCATCTTCTCCATCTTCTTCTTTCTTGTCTTCTTCTTCCTTTTCTTTCTTTGCTATAATCTGAAATTATTTTACAGTTTTTTATTGGACTGAATAACATCTAATAGTATGCAGAATAATTCAACCCCCACCCCCAAATAGCCCTTTATATTATATATTATGTACAATTGCAAGAAAGCCCTCATAGGGCTGAAGGATTACAAGAAAACCTTTATGGGGCTGTAAAGGAAAAAGAACAAGAATAAAATACAATACAACAGGGACTATAGTATACATTACTGTTCTCCACAACAAAAACATAGATGGATGTGGAAACAACTACTAGATCCGTCAACGAAGAAGAAACTAAAGGAGTTGGTACATTTGATGAGTATACACTTACCTGATTCGTGGCTATTTAGCATTAACATGCACTTGAAGCGAGGGCTTGGTCACAATTGGAACAAGAGGAATAGGGTCATCAACTGGAACCAGAAGTGGAAGCATAGGAGGTAAGAAGGAAACATCATAGCCGATAAAGAAAGAGACATACACAAAGAAAGTGACATCCCAAATAAATGAATGACGGGAAGTGGGATTATAGCACTTATAACCTTTTTCTACAACTCCATTTTGTTGTGGAGTACAAATACAAGATAATTGATGAAGAATTCCTTCATATTTGAGGAAGATATTCAAGGAATACTCAATGTATTCAGATGCATTGTCTGATCGAAACTACTTGACTTTCTTCCTAAACTGTGTCTCAACTCAATCATTTTGTAAAAGACTAGTAATTCTAGGAACTTCACTTCTCAAATATATCCACATACATCAAGAGAAATGATCAATAAAATTAAGAAAATAGTGATATCCATCCACAAAAACAAAGTGAGGACCTCCACACATCAGAATGGACTAAATCGCAAGGATTGGAAATTTCATTTATAGATCTTGGATAGGTCCATTTACAATGCTTTGACATCTGACAGACTTCACACAAAATATTTTATGATGGCAATTTTTCAAATAGCTCAGGAAACAAAACTTTCAATGAAGGAAAAGACAAATGACCAACTCCAACATGACCACCAAGTCTTCACGATTGATGTCCCCACCACTTGACGCCTGCATAGAAGCACCAATATCTACATTTAGGTAATAGAGACCTCTAGCGTCATGACAACTCCCAATTTTTCATCTTATCAACCAGTCCTGAAACACACAATGAGTGGGAAATAAAGTCACACAACAGCCAAGGTCTTTGATAATTTTAGAACAGACAACAAATTAGTGATAAATCTAGGAACATGTAACACAAAATTTGGAGATAGATCATTCCCAAGCATGATGCCTCCCTTCCCCTAAATACTAGAAAGAAAGCCATGAGCAATTTTGACTTTGTCTTGGCGAAAAGAAGGGCGATATGAGTTGAACAAGGAGGATACGCTAGTCACATGTCCCGAGCCTCCTGAACCAATCACCTAGGAGCAAGAGGGAGATGGTTGAATAACATTTTAGGCAAAAACTATACCTGTCTTAGCAAATGAAGACCATTTTAGCCAAGCCATAGCCCAGTTAAGAAGATTCACCTCCACAGCAGTAAAGTCAGGCAGACCAGAAGTAGGGTGCAGTAGTCTGTCCAAAATGATTAGAAACACCTAGGTAGTATTCCTTTTCCCACAATTAGCCACATTTGAACTTGCAACATGACCAGCACCATTAGGACCCTTATATGGATTCTTATCCTTCCTCAGAGCTACTGGTTTGAGGTGGGGATACAAAATCCAACATGCATCTTTTGTATGTTTCTCTCCTCTTGGTGAGAACACTTCAATGTTTCTTATTTCCACCCTTACTTTCAGTTGGATGAAACTGAGCCCCACTTCTCAGTTTCATCCCCAAACTCTAAACAACTTAAGAAGAGAAATACAAACAAGAGGTGAGAGAAGTACAAAATTAAAACTAACTGGGATTCTTTCAAAGTAGACCAAACGAGCAAAAAAAAAAAAACTCCAGAAGCCTTTGAATTACCACAATAGCTCTGAAGCAGCCCAAATACATCCCCACAAAGCTTTGAACTAAAACGACCAAAGTGCTGATGAATCACAAACTCCTGCACAGATACACATCAGCAACACCTTCCTCAGGAGCAAAAACCAAGAAAACTTCCCACCCTAAACAAATCAAGGCCTTTCAGCACTCATTGAGTATTGTAGCTCTAGCTCACGGAATACTTTTCCGGTGTACTCTTCCCCTCCTAAAGCTAATCCAATATCAAGTGATGATCATGTTCTTCCCAAAGACCTTCAAGAGATGCAAAAGATGTACCACAGTAAACTCTCCTTGACACATGTCTTCGATGTCTTAATTCAGTCTTTAGATCCTTGCATAATTTTTCTTCTACCCATAGGTCCTTAGGAGTTTGTCCCATACTCCCATATCTTATATGCAGTAATGTAGTGTTGCACAGTCCTAGTAATCTTAGGTGTCATTAGAATAGAAGAGCCAAGACATCACAATGGCATTCCCTACACCGGGTCTTTTATTCAGGCTGTTCTTTCTTTAGCTCTACAGTCTGTCCATAAATATATCCTTCCCTTCCTCTGCTGATTATGGCAAGCTTAGCTGAAATGGCCCACTCAACATAGTTGTACTCATCCAACTTGATGTTGGTAATCTGAAAGGCACGGTTTTCAAGATTGGGAAGACCCTCCCCTGACCTGGTTTCCTTAGAAGAGACCTTACTAGCAGTAGACATTCTTAAAATAGAAACACARCTTCAACCCAAAAAACACTAGTAGCTCAAAATAGCACCCAAAAACTGACTGTCCTCCATAAGGAAGCAAGAAACAGAGACACTAATCAGCCCAAGAGTTCAGAACAATTGTTCACAGCCCAAAAAACCCAACTAACACCTGTGAACAGCCTAGGAATCAGTTCATACAAATTCTGGGTGCAAAAATAACAAAAAACATAGAGCTTCCTCACTCTCTAGTGGGTCTCCGGAGAATTTCACTATTCAGTTTTCACCAATGCCTCTCCTGCTGTACAGCAACTAGACATGAAACTCAGGTCTCTCTAGCACTCTGTACACTGCTCTTCTTCTTCTTACCCTAATGGGGCATGATCGAAGCTGCTTAAGGTTCCATTTGATCCCTTCTCCAAAGAAGAAGCCCTGAGAATTAGATGAAAAGACTCCTTAGTGGCTCACGAACAAGTTCGGGTTTCAGTAGATGAAAGTCCCAGAAGAACAAGGAAAGGAGAGGAAAGATTTGGATCTTAGGAGAACTTCAAGTGCTCTGATACCATGAAGCATTTTGAGCAAGAGAAGAAGAGAAGAAGAGAAATGAGAGAAGACAAGAGGATATGTGAATGAGAAACTGGGGCAACAGTAACCTTATCTGTCCTGGCCTAGATAGCATTCAAATGGAACTTAAAAGACATGAAGTACAAGATTGCCCCTCAATAGGCAAACTGTATATAAACAGACTTTAAGAGTAAAACAACTAAGACCCAACGGCCTAATAAGAAATAAACTGAAGTAAATAATAGCCCAGCCCATACAACATTAGGACTTACAACAGGAAGCAGAAAAATTAAAAGGATAAAATAGAACAAAACCATTCAAGATTCTTGTCATTATCAAAGCCCACAAAAAATATTCCATTTTACATGGTAATATCAATGTATAATGGAAAGAGTACTAGCAATTTAATTACTCTTTCCATTAGATCAAAATCTTGGTAGGCAGCAAGCATCCATGTAGAGCAAAAAGAGTGGACTAGATTCAAGTTTAGTTGGTCAACTACTATAAATAAATAAATAAAAATCCTTTGTAACACAAGCCTGTGCATCAAACAAGTTACTGCTAGTTTAAACATATAAAAGGAAAAGTTAATAAGAAGCATCTATATGTGAGAAAGATGAAGCAGCTGGCAATGCTAGAAATCCTATTTACATCGAGTAGAAGGGACCACTAGATGATAATAAAGAACAGAAAATCAAATAAAGAAACTTATGAAACATACTTGAGTAGTAAAACAAAATCAAATTTATAGAATATGGCATTAAAGTCCAACATACAATATAGCTTACTTGAAATTCCAGTAAACCTTCCCATTAGGATCAGGTATTCCAGCGTCATTAGTGCGTTGATAATCTGAACTCCAGTTGTCTTTAAATGTTTCCATACTCAATCCTGTGATTCCAGCTGTGAAGAGTTGCCAAAAAAAAAGTCATCCTTACAGCTTAGAAGATTTAATAAAATGTAGTATGGCACTAATCATTAGAAAACCTAGAAGGCAATTATTTTCTTTCTAAACCATCAGAAAAGACAAGGAGTGCAATTCCATGAAGTAGGTGCAGTTTTTGAAGCTTTCTTCTTCAGACACATGTCTATCCACTCTCAGAAAAAGTGAGGGTAGGTAACTCCGCTTTCAGGAAAAAAAAGTTCTAACTTCTTCAAACATGTGGCTACTTGCTACTTATCAAGGAAAAAAAACACCCACTTCAAAAAATTAGGACTCAATTAGGAGCTAATAAAAGGTTTTGAAAGTATCTCTAATTTGAGAATAAATCTGGAAAAGAGCTGCATAGCGGGTATAAATTTGGAGGTAGGGGAGGTCGAGGCTATTGCGGAGTGTCTTGAGTGTTCCACTTCTGCTTGGCCTATGTCATATTTAGGGCTT